GCTCTCGTAGCGCAGCAGATGGTCCTCGTGAGGCGGCGTGGTCGTTGTCCACCGGTACGGTACCTCCGCGACGACGCATTTAGTAACCCTTTCGGGCTGCTCGGTTGCGTTTTTCCAGGTGTCGGTCTTGGCGGCGTACTTGGGCTGCCTGTGACACAGCCATTGCAGCGGCTGCATGGTAGGCAACTCTTGCTCAGACTGCACGTTGCGCAGCCCAGTCCGTCTTGTAGAAGACGTCACCATCCCTGATGTCGTTCAGGTGTGGTTGTATCCCGTGTCGGACGAGGTGGCCCGTTCTCTTGAGAGCTGAATTTGCCTGTGGGTCTCCACCGAAGAGTGTGGGTCTCGTGGCCGATGTTGTAGACATTCAGCTTGTAGCTCGACGCCGTTTATAGCTGTCCGGCTTGTAGCTCGCCCGCGCGGCCGCATGCCGTTCGCCACGTCTCCTGCGGTCCATGGCCGGCGGCCGGCGGGCGAAGGCCAGCCCCCCTGGAGGCGCGAGCGCGGCCGGGCGCGGCGCCAGGGGACGAGTGCGGGGGGTGGATCCCGCAAATGGCCTTCCCCTTCCTCCTCCTCCTCCTCCTCCTCCTCCTCCTCCTCCTCCTCCTCCTCCTCCTCCTGCTCCTCCTCCTGCTCCTCCTCCTGCTCCTCCTCCTCCTCCTCCACTCCTTTTCCTTACAAGCAATTCTCCCTGTCGCACCCCGAAGCCAGTTTTTAGGGCGGGCTGGGCGTTTCGCCTGAGACTTCCTCACCACTTACGACTCTGAAGGTTAAAGAGTAACAGAAGGTTCACATATGGAGGGCGAGTGGTTTCCAGAATGTGGCTCTCGCCTGCGCGCCGCGCACATTCGTTTTAAGAATTTGCAGGAGTTTCACGGATTGAGAGCGGGTGGTTTTCAAAATGTGGCTCTCGCCTTAGCGCCGCGCACATTCGTTTTTTATGCAAGGAGTTTCGCGGATTGAAGGCGGTGGTGGTTTTCAAAATGTGCGCCGCGCACTTTCGTTCCGTGCCTAGCGGAGCTGAGAATCCAAGAGGCTCGCGTTTCCAGCTGTCCTGCTCCCTACTAGGCCCCAAGGCACAGCCAGGCACAACCGGACTGGTTGAGCACAGCTCACTTCCAACAAGATATACACCCCATCCCCCACCCACCTGTGGGCCAACCCGAGACATGCCCCTCCCCCCCACACCATCCCTGTGAAAAACAATACAAAATGCACTCTGCCTCCAAATCTGGAGCATGCGCGGGCACCCCGCGACCATTTCGCTTTGGTGTTTGACACGGACACCGAGTGCCGTCATATTGCTCGCTGCGCGCAAGCCAACAATCCCTGTCAACAAAAACACTGCAGAATGCACGTTGCCTCCACATCTTAAAAACTTGCAAGAGTTTCACGGATTGAAGGCGGGTGGTTTTTAAGATGTGACTGTCGCCTTAGTTCCGCGCACATTCGTTTTAAATGTTCGCAAATGTTTCACGGATTAAGGGCGGACCCTTTTCAAAATGTGGCTTTCGCTTTAGCGCAGCGAACTTTCGTTTTGAAATATGTGCAAGAGCTTCACGGATTGAGGGCGGCTCCTTTTCAAAATTTGGCCCTCGCTCTAGCGCAGCGCACATTCGTTTTTAGAAATTTGAAAGGGCTTCACAAATGGAGGGCGGGTCGTTTTCAAAATGTGGCTCTCGCTTTAGCGCCGCGCACATTCGTTTTAAACACTTGCAAGAGTTTCACGGATTGAGGGCGGTTCCTTTCCAAAATGTGTCTTTCGCCTAACCGCCGCGCGCATTCGTTTTAAAAACTTGCAAGAGTTTCACTGGTTCCCATGAACAACGTACCACAAATGGTGTTTTGGAAAAACTATGTTGATTCGCGGTGTCGAAATCCTAAACATGGCGTTCTGGCACGATTCCGGACCGTCAACACGCAGCAGTCAGGTTGATCCGTGGCGTTGAAATCCCGAGAACAATGTTATGGCATGCTTCAGGATCTTCAAACGGTTGTCTTCCAACGAGGCAGTCCCCTCAATGGAAATGAACTCTTGTATGGGGCCTGTGAATAGGGAGCTTGGAGGGAGGGTTACTTCCAACATCGTTGATGACTCTTGGGTTTACACTGGTCCTCCTCATCCTCCTCCTCCTCCTCCTCCTCGTCCTCGTCCTCGACCTCCTCCTTATCCTCCACTTCGTCCTCCTCGTCCTACGAGGCTGCTCTAGGGCGGTTTCTTCGTAACCCGATTCTACTTTTCTGGGCCTTCGGTCGAGGGCGTCTAGGCATTCAAGCAGCCAGCCGTCATCAACTGCAACAACAACTCACGCCTCCGCGGCCAGAGGAGGGCATCCCGTTGAGACTTTGAGACTCCGGGTTTGGGATCCAAGGCCCGCTGGGGGAGGAACCGCGCGACGCGCCGGGCTCCTTTGCGCGCGGGGCTCCTTGACGCTTCGTGCCTTCCTCCCTGCGCCCCAATCTACACTGATTGTGCAGCGATCTGCCGACGCCTGGTTGCTGGTTCCCCTTCCAGGGGGGGAGCCTGGGCATAAGGCGCGCGGATCCCCGCCGGTGTGGTGCGGCTCCCGCAGGGGATGTGGCTGCGGAGGGGGTGTCTCGTGTTGCGGGGGGTTCGGTTCGTCGTCGTCTTCTTCTTCGGGGGGCTCGCCCAAAGCTGGTTTGTATAGCTTAATTCCCACTGGCACCGAAGAGTGTCCCTTACATTACTTTTCAGCGTGCCAACTGATATCCCTGACTGCGGTTGGCGACTTGGCCACCGCCTTCGACTCGGGAGGGGACTTTCTTCCCCCCTGGAACACAGACGGGGGCCAGGACCAGTGCGGCGGCAAGTAGTCTCCTCCTCGGCTGCTGGTCGCCCTGCCTGGCTTTGTTTTTTGACTCCGGCTAGGCTTCGCGTGGCCCGATTCTTCCACACCTTTAACTACTTCCTCGCGCTCTGCGCGAGGGCGGCTAGGCGTCGTACAGCCTGCTCGCCTTCGACACCTACACTCACCGCGAGATAGCTGGCCTGGAAGATCCGCCACCAGGGCCCCCCCGCCTGCTGCAATTCGGCATCCGTGCCCAAAGCCTGGGTTCAGGGGAAGCTGCCTCAAGGCGCCCACAATGAAGGGATCTCGGGGCGCTCAAGGACCCTCCTGAGGCGCGCCCGCCCCTTCACTCTTATCCGTTGAGGCGTGCAAAGGCTGTCTGGCAGGGTTCCTGCATTCCATTCCGGGATCCGCTCTCCCGCCGCAGACTGCTGCAGGCACCGCCAGCCTTCCCGAAGCCACGATCCTTCGTGGAGGACAATGGACCCGCGCTCCCGAATTTCTAGGAAGCCACCATCCTTCGTAGAAAGCGATGGGCCCGCGCCCGCGCTCCCGAACTGTCAGGCCGGCCGAGGCAGGCAACCAGCGTCGTTCAGAGGGTCCAAGATGCCTCCAAAACGGCCCAAGATGGCCCACGCTCCCGAACTTTCAGGCTGGCCGAGGCAGGCAACCAGCGTCGTTAAGATGGTCCGAGATGCCTCCAAAACGGCCCAAGATGGCCCACGCTCCCGAACTTTCAGGCCGGCCGAGGCAGACAACCAGCGTCGTTAAGAGGGTCCAAGATGCCTCCGAAACGGCCCAAGATGGCCCACGAGAGGCCCTCGTGCAGGGCCCGAGGGAGCGAAAATCGTTGATGCTCATGGCTTCGAAGGACTTCCGCATTCTCGCCTTTTTGGGCGTCCGCCAGCCCAAGACAGCTCAAGAAACTTCGAAGATGGCCCCAAGACGGCTCAAGAGGCCCCCCCCCCACACAAGAGGGTCGAAGACGGTCCAAGAGGACCGTATGATGGCCCAAGAGGCCTCCAATACGGCCCCAAGACAGCCCAAGAGGGCCTCTGGACAGACCCACGGCGGACTTACAAAGCCCTTCGACGGCAAACAATGGCCTCATAACAGCACGAAGCCATCCCCAATACCGCCGCGAGGGCCCCAGGACGGCCCAAGAGAGCAACAGGACTGCCTAAGATGGCCCCAAGACGGCCCAAGAGGGCCCCGAGACGACCCCAGAGGACACCGAAGACTGCTCCACAGAAGCCCAAGACGGCCCCAAGACGGCCCAAATGAGCTCCATGAGAGCTCCTCAAAAAGTGAATGCGAAAGGTGTCACATCTGACGACCTTCCTCCTCCTCCTCCTCCTCCTCCTCCTCCTCCTCCTCCTCCTCCTCCTCCTCCTCCTCCTCCCCCTGCTCCTCCTCCTCCTCCTGCTCCTCGTCATCATCATCATCATCATCATCATCATCATCCTCATCACCGCTCTCTCAAGCTTGGGCCCCTCGAACAGGTCGCCACCCAGAACGCTTGGCCGGCAGGGTGGCGGTACTTTCCGCAAGCGACTGGAAATGCGCACACCCCGTCCTCTCCGCAATAGGTCCCCCCATCCTCCTCCCCCCTTTCGGACGCCCGCTAACATGGCTTACGGCGCGTGGGCGCCAGAACCACTGATCAGGGAATGCACCCGCGACATACGAGGCCAATGCCGCCCCATTCGGCGACGGAGGGGCGAGAGAGCGAGCGAGCGCGCGATGTTGTCGGTCCGTCGGGGACCGGCCCCACGAGGGCAGCGCGTGGGGGCTGGGGCCCTCAGGAGCAGGAGTCGGCAGTGGGAGCAGGAAGGGGACCGTCGCCAACTCACGCGCCTCAGCCCATGTTTACGCTTCCTCGCCCCTTCTCCCCCAAAGGTAGGTGGCGCGCCTGGAGGAGGAGGCAGAGGACTCGGGGCCTCTCAGCAGGCGGCTGGGCTTCTCAAAGCCCTCGCGCCTGCTAAGAAGACCCCTCTACCTCTGGAGACGGCCTATGACAGCTTATGAGAAGGCTGGCGGCGTTCTGAGCCTTCCAGGGATCGACCCGAACAATGTTTTTCGTTTTCGTTGTGTGTTTGTTTCCCCTCATTGTGTCTTCAATCCGCTTCTGCTGCAATACGAGATCGGAACGGCAACCAGTGGATCCCCGATCTCCTCCAAAGATAGACGAGCGCGTTCCACTACTCGCAAAGCAACTATTCGCAAATGGCCTGGATCTGCCGCGGGGGATTTGAGACTAATTACATCGAAGCAACCATGTGCTTCTCTGACGTTTGCGAGTATAGGCACTCCTCGGGAGCGGCCAAGAGGGGGGTGTCCAAGAGGGGGGGGTGCAAATCATGACCGGCGGCATGTGCGCGGCCCAGCGGGGGGGGGCCGGGGACGTAATGAAACAAGAAGAGGCGCCATGACATCTGGGGAACTATCATGGCCCCCGCCATGATATCCACCCCCCTAGTCATCACCCCCCTCTTTCCCGCTCCCGAACTCTGCGAGCACTGGACAGCGCTCGGGTGAAAAGAGCTGCGACCATGCCCCGCCCACCTCGGAGCGGCCTCCCGTGGGCATCCCTGTGGACCACCTGCGGGCCGCGCGGCCCCAGAGAGGGGGGGGGGCGCCGCGGCGGGATTGGCACGCCGGGTGCGGGGGCCAGAGGGCGGGGGCATTCCTGGTGGTGACGACTTGCGCTGTGGCTCCTGACCCGTTCCGCCTAGGACAGCAATCTGCGACACATCCTAGCACCCGCTACAGTGACGTCACCTGGCCAGGCGGAGGAAACTCGATGTGTTCCCCTCGCTGCACGCCCGCTGGCGGTCGCCCACCCGCTCCCAACCACAACGCCAGGCGGTACTCTTAGTCGCGCGCGCGCGACTGCTGCTCTACGACTTTCTCCGCCCTGTCGCCGCGCGCAGGGCCGCGACGCCAAAAAGTGCGTGTAAGTGCAACTGTCAGTGCAAGTGCAAGTGTAAGCGTACGTGTAAGTGTAAGTCTAAGTTTAAGAGTGAGTGTGAGTTGTGAGTGTGAGTGTGAGTGTGAGTGTGAGTGTAAGTGTGAGTGTAGGTGTAAGTGTCACTGTGAGTGTGAGTGTGAGTGTGAAGTGTGAGTGCGAGTGTCGACCTGCCCATCCAAACAGGGGGCAACACTTCCCCTATCCCGCGCTCGCGCCGTCCCGGGGTCCCACGCTTGCTGGCGGGTCGCCGCGCCCGCCTGTACGGCGGTGCCGCTACGGTCGTTGTCCTCCGCCTCCCGCCCCGCCTTCTCCTCCTCTCCCCCTGGTACGCGAGCGCGTGCGCGCGTGCGCGTGCGCGTGCGCGTGCGCGAGTGCGTGCGCGTGTGCGTATGTGTGTGTGTGTGTGTGTGCGTGTGCGTGTGCGTGTGCGTGTGCGTGTGCGTGTGCGTGTGCGTGTGCGTGTGCGTGTGTGCGTCTGCGGCCTTGGCCTGCTGCGTGACGGTTGCGGGCCTTGCACTTGCCTCTTCCTGTGTCCAGCGCAGCTGCAAATTTAACACAATTGGACTTGGTTTCGCGGGCCTTTGGGCGCCGGCGCGGATTCTGTCCCGGCCTCGTGCGAGCAGGAGTGTGTGATGGTGTGCGTATGCTAAAAAACTCTTAGCACTCGCTACAGTGACGTCGCCTGGCAGAGCGGAGGAAACTCGATTTGTTTCACTCGCTGCACGCCCGCTGGCGGTCGCCCGCCCAACGGGCCAGAGGCGTGCTAAAATTCCCGGTGACAAATTAACGATATTCTGGTTCGCGCGCGCGCAGCGGCCCCTGGGGGTCCCAGAGCGAAAAATCCACTGGGCAACCCCCGGCAAGTCCAGGCCAAGTATGGTGGATCTTTCGGGCGCGGGCCTGGGGGCCTCTAGAAAGGTCCAAGAGACGCCCAATGAGTCGACAAGTAAGTGACAGGCCCTCCGGCCAGAAACCAGCAGCGTCCCAGGGCGGCCCAAGATGACCTCACGATGGCTCTCGACGCCCATGACGGCCCCCAGAAACCCCCAAGACGGCCCAAAAACGCACTAGGACGGCCCCCAGAAAGGGCCTCGAGGCGAAACCCGACCGGAAATTTCGACTCGTCCGCGCCAAGACGCCCCCAGGTTGCCCCAAGAAACCACCAAGAGGCCCCTTGGGGCGGAGAGCTCCCCAAAAAGCCCCCGAGCTCTCCAGAAAGCCCCCAAGTGGCCCAAAAACTGGCTACCATCAGCCATCCGAATGGCCTCCGACCCACAACCCACTTCGCGGTCCGAGAGCTCGCGCGCGGCCTCCAGATCCTAAACGCAACCTCGCGTATTGGCCCTGAACTCGGCCCGCAAACCATCATCATGTGTCCTCCTCCTTTTCGCTGTCGTCCTCCCTCTCCTCCTCCTCTTCATCCCCCCCCGCCTCCTCCTCCTCCTCCACCCCCTCATCCCCCACTTCCTCTTGTTCCCCCATGCGGCCCAGAGCATTCGCGCGCTGCCGCAAGCGGTTCGCCGGGGCTCGCGCGCACGACTTGCACTTCAAGGCCCCCGTCTGGCGCGAGTGCTCGAAATGCGGCCCAACGAAGAACCGAGATTTCGGGTGCTTCCTTTTGCTGGTGCCGAGGCACTCGCACGCTTGCTAGCAGCGCGCCGCGAAACCCAGGTCCGCGCAGCCTGCACATGCAACTGTACGTTCCCTCGAGAAGTGATCACTCTCCTGTCTGTCGATTATGCGGCCCTGCCGCGGAAATTTCTTCTCTCGTTCCGCGCGCGCCCATTTTCGTTCGAGCCGTTTTGCCGCATCGGCCACTCCCTTCGCAGTAACGCCCTTGCGGTGGCATCCTCCGCGCACTACCCTTGCTCCTTTCTTCGCCCGGGGGCCCTCCACTCGGTCGCGGTTCAAGTGTCCGACCTCCAGAAGGGCACCTCGCGACCTGGCGCGCAACGCGTCAGCGACCTTCCACCTCTGCTTTCCGCTTGCGATTGTTTGCTTCTCGCGTCAACTTGTCCCACGCCTCTGCGCATTTCCGGCACAGTTTCTCCCATGCTGCGCCATGCTTCTTCTGGGCTTCCGACATCTCCGCCATCTCTTCGAAAAGGGAGAGAGAAGCGCGTCGCTCGAACGTCGCGCTGCGCCGGCGCTCTCGTCCCACTTGGGGTTGCCACGGCGCGACTTCTGCTTCGCTTTGACATGGCTACACTTGGCGCAAGACATGGTCCGAATCGCGTTCACCTCCTGCTCGTCGCATGGCCCCCTGCTTCCCCAATCGCTACCGTGCCGCGTCGGTGCATCGTCCTCCGCTGCGGCCCACCCTTTGCACGTTGTTTCACCATTTCTCGTCCGCGCCGTTCATCTCATCCGCGCATGCAAATCGCCGGCCTATCCTTCCTCTGGAATTCGTACTTCGTGAAAGCCTCCACCGGTAACCTCCAACAGCACCGTTCGCACTGGTCTCATGGCGTGCGTGAGTTCCGCTTCCCACGACGCCCAGTCCACGTCTTCTCCTCGGACCACTTGCAACAGTTCCTTAATCCCCCATCTCCCCTTCGTTGCGCGGCTTGCTATGAAAAGGCCGGAATATCAACGCGCCCCATCGTTTTCGCGCCCGCGCGACGGCAACGTAATAAGACATCCAACTCACGCCGCGCCCACTTTCAAGGTCCGCGATCGCTGCCCCCGTCGTCCGCCCCTGCGCGGCGCGCGCCGTCGCAGCCAACGACGGCGCGATCATGAACTGCGCCCGCGTCACACCTGGGTGCTTCGTGCACCCGCCCAAGAACCACTGGCGCCCTTTCGATGGGAAGATCGGATGCAGCCCCAGCTCCCGGCCGGGCAAGCGCCAACCCTTTGCGTGAAAGTCGAGGACCATGACTCGGGGGAGATGCAACAAGACCTCCTCGTCTGCATCTCCCACAGAATCGTCCTCATGCACAACCATCTGTGAATCGTCGCCGTGCGCCCTCGCAGAAGTTGCTTCTTCGACCAGCCCAAATGATCCGCCAAAGCAACGTGCATGCCCGTCGCCACTGGGAACAACCCCGGCAAGCTTGCGCACTCCTTATCGTGGTACCCCAGACACCATATTGTGTCCTCCACCGTGTACAGCCGCCTCTGTTCCCCCCCGTGGCAGGGGCGGTCTCTGGCTGCGACCCAGAGCGCCTGCTCTCCTCGCTCCTTCGCCCACTGCGCGCTCTCTGCTTCCCCACGTGGCACCGAATATCTTGACTGGCCTAGATGGCGACGGCTTTCACGAATCTCTTTTCTCGGAATCGCGCATCTTCGGGCGACATTGCCACAAGCACGAATGTCCACACACTCGGTCCCGTTTCCTCCCGGCGCTACAATCGTGTGGTCCGAGTGCAGGCCTTCGGGGAGGCCTTTGGGCACCCTCCAGATGCCTAGTGCGCCCAAGGCCATCCCGCCCTAACCTTTTCCGCACTGCGCCGGCGCAACATATCCATCCCTGGCTTTGTCCTACTAGTGCGCCCAAGCCAGAATTCCCAAACCGGCTGAATCCGCGCCGACGAGGGCCCCCTCGAGACCCAGAAACAAAAGACAGCGCAAAAATCCTCCGCCCCACTGTCGCCCTCCTGGCACGTCACGCTCTAGAATCCCCCCGGGAGCCCGATACCGAAGCCTTGACCCCCAGCACCAGACCAGGAGCACAACATGACGCCCCAAAATGCACCCAGGAGGCCCCGAAGACGCGCCGACCCGCCCCCAAAACGAGCCCCAGGGGAGCTTCCAAAACTGTTTTCAAGAGGCCCTACCCCCCCCCACACACAAAAAAATGCAAGGGGGTCGGCGGATGTGGCGTAAACCAATATAATCACAAGCAAACGATGCTGCACATGAAAGTAACACGTGCAGACAACTATGCGGGATACCACGCCGGACACCATGCGGGAGACCGTACGGGAGACCATACTGGAGACCACGGGCCACGAGTAACCGGCTCCAGATCCGAAGGAATGTCGAACCCCTGCAGACAAACCGTTCAGAGAGTGCAAGGTGTAAGGTCCGCCATAGCGAGAAAACATAGACGGAGTAGGGCGACAGGAAAGACAGGCCAGACGTTCCAACCAATGGCCTTGTTAAAGCAGCTTCTGGCTTCAGGCCTGGGCAGGGAACACCTGAAGGACTTTGCACCGCACCCGTCGCCGACGGGAGGCGGAGGAGAAGGCGCAGGAGGACGACGACATGGAGAAGGGTTAAGGGAGGGAGGGAGGGAGGGAGGGAGGGGAAGGAGGGATGGGAGGGAGGGAGGAGAGGAGAGGGATGGGAGGAGTAGGAGGGGGGGACGAGGACATGGAAGGAAGTCTCCAGGAAGATGCGGCCGCCAGCGCGCGCAAGAACGGGCGCCGCGGCCGCCTGGAACGGCGTGCGGGCCTCTGGATACCTGCGGGGAGCGGAGGGCACCCGCCCACCAGGACTCCAGCGAGCGTGCGTGGCAGATGCGGAGGAAAAGGAGGAGGAGGAAGAGGAGTAGGAGGAGGAGGAGGAGGAGGAGGAGGAGGAGGAGGAGGAGGAGAGGAGGAGGAGGAGGAGGAGGAGGAGGAGGAGGAGGAGGAGGAGGAGGAGGAGGAGGAGGAGGAGGAGGAGGAGGAGGAGAGGAGGAGGAGGAGGAGAGAGGAGGAGGAGGAGGAGGAGGAGGAGGAGGAGGAGGAGGAGAGGGAGGAGGAGGGGGAGGGGAGGAGAGGAGGAGGAGGAGAGGAGAGGAGAGGAGGAGGAGGAGGGAGGAGGAGGAGGAGGAGGAGGAGGAGGAGGGAGGAGGAGGGGGGGGGAGGAGGGGAGGAGGAGGGAGGAGGAGGGGAGGAGGAGGAGGAGAGGGGGGTAGGAGGAGGCGGAGGCGGAGGCGGAGGCGGAGGCGGAGGCGGAGGAGGAGGAGGAGGAGGAGGAGGAGGAGGAGGAGGAGGAGGAGGTCTAGGCCTCCTTCCCGTGCCGTCCTTCGAGGTCGCCTAACGTCGCGTGCCCTCGCGCCCCGCGAGGCGGGGTCATCCTTCGCGTGCCCTCGCGCCCGCGTGGAGGAGGGCGGCTCCCATGCCCAGACCACCAAGCCACGACGCGCGGAGCGTGATCATCTTCGCGCCCCTGGGAGTGACCCAATCCCTCTTCCCCCCTTGTCTTAAGTCGGGCGTGTCCCCCTACAGGGGGATATTGGACGGAAAAAAAGAAAGAAATACCAAAACATACTCAAACGATGCCTAAAAATACTCAAAACATATCCCCAGGCTATGTTTTTGAATAGTTTTGAATATTCCCCCTGTAGAGGGACAGGCCCGACTTAACCCTTGTCCTCATCTCTCCTCCTTCTCCGACCCGTGTGTTCCCAGCCATGGCCCGACACATCGCCCGCTCTCTCCCGAAAGCACTCTTACATTCTACACATTTCCACTTCCCCCGCTCCAGCTTTGCGCTATCCAAGCAGCGCTTGCACTTCCGCCGCGGATCTGCCATGCCCTCCCGCTCCTTCGTCTTACGCTGCTGCTTAGATTCCCAGTTTTCTGATCATGCGCATTGAGGATACGATTGCGTTGCTGGTGTTATGATTGCTACTCGCCTTCCCAACATTGGTTTTGCCGTTCCTCTTCAACCATGACCATTGGTCATATTTGTGCAGCCAGCGCGTATCATAACGGCGCGCGATGAAGCTGCAATGGTCTTGGTAAGCCATATCGACACTTTTCGAGCGGGGCGCGGTCAGCGAAAGTGGCGAAGGATGGGCCGAAGGGGAAATATGCAAAGATAACCTTGGAACATCTTCCATCCTTAGTATACGTGTGGACTGTACTCTCAGCACGCACGTGCACAAGGCGGCTGCGGAGTTTCTGGGCGGGTCATCCAGGGGGGGGCCAACGGCCTTGTGTGCAAGGTCGTTGCGAGCCGCGAGCAGCCTGTCAGACTCTGCCTCGCTGAAAGCGGTGTCGCACGTGTCGCGTCTTGGCTGAACGCGGATTCCTGGACCATCCCAATATTTCTCTCCTGCTCCGCCCTCGTCCCATCCTCACACGGCCCCGTACACGGGCACTTCGAAATACTCCGTGACGCTGGAGCACCCGGGAAACTGCAGCCGCGGGTCGACGCGTTGTCCGTCCTGCGCTTTCCCCTGCAACGTCCCGGCAAACCCTGATCCGTAACGTCCTGGCTTCCACAGCCATGCCATGCCTTCCCCTTTCCACTTCCACCTCCCCGAGCAGCTGCATTGGAGCCCGGCCCGGCGGCGGCACCTCCACGCTCGACTTGTCCTCCTCTTCCTCCTCCTCCTCCTCTTCCTCTTCCTCCTCCTCCTCGTTCTCCTCCTCCTCCTCCATCTCATCCGCCTCCTCCTCCTCCTCCTCCTCCTCCCCCTCCTCCTCCTCCATTCCTCTTCCTTTAAAAAATACGTCCCCCTGTCGCACCCCGAGGCCAGTGGTTAGGGCGGGCTGGGCGTTTCGCCTGAGACTTCCTCACCAGCTACGACTCTGAAGCTCAACACATGGCAACATTTTCACATATAGAGGGCGGGTCGTCTTCAAATTGTGGCTCTCGCCTTAGCGCCGCGCACATTCGTTCTAAACGTTTGCAAAAACTTCACGGATTGCGGATAAATGTTTTCAAACTGTGGTTCTCGCCTTGGCGCCGCGCACAGCCGTTTTAAGTAATAGTTTCACGGATTGATGGTACCACGTTTTCGAAATGCGGGTTTCACAGATTGAGAGCGGTTCCGTTTCAAATTGTGGCTCTCGTCTCAACGCCGCGCACTCTCATTCGTAAAATTTGCAAGCAGTTCACGGATTCGCACGATCAGCGTACCAAAAATTGCATTGTGGAAAGATTCGAACATATTCGAGATTTTGCGGGTGCAACAGCTACGTTGATTCGCTGCGTTGACATCCTAAGGATGGCGTTCTGGCGCGATCCAAGATCGTCAAGGCGCAACAGTCAGGTTGATCCGTGGCGCTGGAATCCCGAGAACAATGTGATGCCATGCTTTCGGGTATTAAAACGGTTGTCTTCCAACGAGGCAAATCCCCCGATGGAAATGAACCGCTGTAGGAGCCTTTGAAGAGGGAACTTGGAGGGAGGGTGTATTCCAACATCGTTGATGGTTCTTGGGTTTACACTGGTCCTCCTCCTCCTTCTCATCCTCCTCTTCAGCCCTTCTCCTCAATCCTCCTCTTCAGCCCTCCTCCTCAACCCTCCTCCTCCTGCTCTTCTCTTCCTCCTGCTCTTCTCATCTTCCTCCTCCTCCTCAGCCCTCCTCCTCCTCCTCCTCTTCCTCCTTCTCCCCCTCATCTCCAGCCTTCTTCCTTCTCCTCTCCGACAATTCCTCTCTCCTTGCAATGCGTCCGAATCGTCATCACCACCACCACCACCATAATCATCCTCCTCCTCCTCCTCCTCCTCCTCCTCCTCCTCCTCCTCCTCCCCTTCCTCATCAGCATCATCACAATCGTCGTCGTCGTCGTCGTCATCATCAGCATCATCATCATCATCATCATCATCATCATCACCATCACCATCATCATCATCATCATCATCATCATCATCATCATCACCATCACCATCACCATCACCATCACCATCACCATCACCATCACCATTACCATCACCATCACCATCATCACCATCACCATCACCATCATCTCATCATCATCATCATCATCGGTCATCGTCATCGTCATCGTCATCGTCATCGTCACCGTCACCGTCATCGTCATCGTCATCGTCATCGTCATCGTCATCGTCATCGTCATCCTCATCCTCATCCTCATCCTCATCCTCATCATCATCATCATCATCGTCATCGTCATCGTCATCGTCATCGTCATCGTCATCGTCATCGTCATCGTCATCGTCATCGTCATCATCATTCATCATCATCATCATCAGCATCATCATCATCATCATCATCAGCATCAGCATCATCATCATCATCATCAGCATCAGCATCATCATCATCATCACCATCATCATCACCGTCACCATCACCATCACCATCATCATCACCACCATCATCATCATCATCACCATCATCAGCATCAGCATCATCAGCATCAGCATCAGCATCAGCATCATCATCATCATCATCATCGTCATCGTCATCGTCATCGTCACCATCACCATCACCATCACCATCACCACCATCATCATCATCATCATCACCATCACCACCACCACCACCATCATCATCATCATCATCATCATCACCATCATCATCATCATCTGTATCATCCTCTTCTTCTGCAACCTCGTCATCATCATCATTCGCCTCCTCATCATCAACATCACAATCAACATCGGCAACATCACCAACGCCACCCTCATCCGCAAAGTCATCTGCATCATCATCAGCGCCACCATCAACATCATCATATAATCATAGCAGCGTCATCATCGTCCTCAGCCTCATCATCAGATTCATCCTCCTCCTCCTCCTCATCCTCATCATCATCATCATCGTCGTCGTCGTCCTCGTCATCATCAGCATCGTCACCATCATCATCATCATCATCATCATCATCATCATCATCATCAGCAGCAGCAGCAGCAGCAGCAGCAGCAACATCATCCGCATCAGCGTCAACATCAACATCATCTCCTCAGTCCTCATCTTCCCTCCTCCTCCTTTTTCTCCTCCTCCTCCTCCTCCTCTTCGCCACCCACCAACTACAGAGCCAACCATCCGCAAAAACGCGTGGGCAAAAGAACGCGCGATTGGCAACTCGTCGAGATTTAAAAACAAAAAAACGGAAAACGGAGCTCATCGCGACTGCAACGCCGAAGATGAAGCGCCCGATTGCGAAGCAGGAGTACGTGCTGCGAGACAAGGAGGACGGGGCGGAGGAGAAAGAGGGGATGCTGGGATTCCCCAAAAAACCATACACCGAGGTAGCCGCCCATCGTTGCCGCGGCCGCCCCCGATTCCTGGGAGAGGACCATTGTCTGGTGTCTGGGAAAGCCGCCAACATTACAAACCATAGCTTTCGCCAAACACGATTCACATGACTGTACCACTTGTTGCATCAGCGATTGTTGCTTGTCAGAAAATATGTCAGAAAGTGTAGTTGCTTCGGCCTTGTCCAGCACGGTGGCGTTGGAGATCCTGCAAACAAGCGATGGCGGGACACCTGAGATCTTTCGGGCACCCTTGCAATGAAAACAGTCAAATCGCGCTCTCCCGGCTCGGAAAAGCCATCTACAATCAAAAGGATACCACACCTTACTCACAACGCAAGCGTAATACAGGTCATAGTTCCTGTTCCATCCAATGACAGCATGAGGACACATGTTTTGCAGCTGCTTAAAGATGCCCAATCTCCTTCGCCCAGCCTCCGAATTAACTTGTTCTGGTTTGGCCATCGCAAGATATTAGTCCACCCAAATACATGCTCCCCTGATAGATTTGTTTTTTTCGTGGGTCTACGTACTTCCCCTGTTGAAGACATGCCCATCTACAACGTCTTATCCCAATTGAGATCCATGCCTGGCCTTCCCGCACAATGGATTCATCAAACACAGAATGAAGATTCCCGGGGTGTTGCGACGCCGACGGAGTACCATCCGCGTACAAAATGGCCCTACACATACTCTGGCTCTGGCTGTAGCTCCAGTGTGTCCACGGTCCAAGGCGTCGTGCAACATTACAGTTTGGGCAGCTGTGAACAAATAGGTGTTTAGTGGGCAACCTTGGACGATACCTGCGGATTTTTTTCTCTTCGTAGAAGGCCTACATTGGTCGATTATTATAATAACAATTACCGCTGTGTTGTTAATCCAAACCTTCCATGGCCATGCGCATGCTGTCCGGCATCAGACAATCGAAAGCTTTCGTCCAGTTCAATACTAGAACTAAGAATCCTCCCCCATTTTTCACTCGAGCTGCACCCACCATCCACTGGACCAGCATAAGCGTTTGACGTGCCACGCTTTGGGTGGATGCCGAACTGAGATTCCCGCAACCTTCGCTCGCACCCACCATCCAGGAGTCTATGAGCCTGCCTTCGAGCGCACTCTAATCAAGGATCTCGATGCGGGTCCGAGCGTTGCCCAAAGGGCTACCCTGGAAACAACACAGAACAACAGACACGTCACATGAACCTGGCGTAACCCAAACTAGGGACACAGCAAAACGTTGCCCACGTGACAAATGTGCAACGCAATGCAGCGACGCAAAGCGTAGTACATCATACCAGTGCGCATCATAGCGCTGCCGACCACGTAAGGCAATCGCAGAATTGCGTCGTATTGGATAGCATGACGCAGCATAGAACGACGTAGCACAGCACACCATTCCACCTCCTCCTCCTCCTCCTCCTCCTCCCCCTCCGCCTCTTCTGCCTTCTCTTTCTCATCCTCGCTCCCTGCCTCCTCCCTCCCTCACTCCCTCCCAACCTCCCTCCGCCTCCTCCTGGTCATCCTCCTCGTCCTTTTCGACGCTGAGCGGACTTCAATCCTACGACTTCCTCATTGTCCTCCTCCTCCTCCTCCTCCTGCTCCTCCTCCTCCCCCTCCTCCTCCTCCACCCTCCCTCCCTCCCTGCCTCCCTCTCTCCCTCCATCTCTCCTCCTCCCTCCTCCCCTCTTACGAACTCTCCTCCTCCTCCTCCTCCTCCTCCTCCTCCTCCTCCTCCTCCCCCTCCTCCTCCTCCTCCTCCTCCTCCTCCTCCCCCTCCTCCCCCTCCTCCTCCTCCCCGTCCTCCTCCCCCTCCTCCTCCTCCTCCCCCTCCTCCTCCCCCCTCCCCGCGCACCCGCTGCCCCCCCCCCGGCGGCGCGCCTCTCGGCGTAGACCTGCTCGCGGTCGTGGCATCGGATGCGCGGCCAGCAGCGCCACAGCGCCCAGGACACCAGCCGCCGCAGCAGGCCTCCCTCTCTCGGCTTATGTTGTTCCCATCCTACTTAAGGACCGCATCCCAGGAATAATTTCGAGCAGCAGGAGAAGTGTCGAAAGAGTGTCGAACCAGTGTCGAAACTGTGTCGGGCGAGTGTCTCCCAGGGCCCGACACGTGAAAACCCTTGAGTTTTGGCAATTTTTCTGGCGCTCGAAATTCTTTCTGGTGATCAAGGCTAAATAAAGCAGGTTGGAGCATCATAACTCTCGGCGAGCGGCCAGCCAAGAGGGGCAGGCTGATTATAGAGGAAGAAGAACTATGCACATACACCGATTCTGGCCGGGCCCATCCTGAGCCCAGGATCGGTGCGTACGCCCTCTTACCTTGGCCAGGAAGGCATATGCACCGATCCTGGGTCAAGGATGGGCCTTGCCAGGATCGGTGCATGTGCATAGTTCTCTTCGCCCGAGATCACAGGCTGATGGAATGCATGGAGCGCGCTCCATCGCATCCAGCGAAAACTCGACACAGACTGCTTGAGTTTGACACTGTCTGGACAACAGTTCCGTCTACTGGTATAGTCGATGAGCCTCGCGAAGGTTCAACAACTCTGGTACGTCAGGTCCCTCCGAAAGACGGCCAAGTATGTAAAACGGATCAGAAAAGGGGTGCTGTAAACCAGGGATTGAGGAGAGGCCGAGGCGGGGCGTCAAAGGAACCAGTAGATGTGGACAAACGTGTAATGAGCCGGCGTTGCCGCTGAGGCTCACTACGCGTCCTGTCCGTGATCATTTTTTTCAGCGCGATGCCAGAACCTGAGCCAGAGTGCAGCGTCACGGCGAAAAATGGCCTGAAGCTGCTGTCCCACTTAGTGGGATTGTTAACGTAAGTGCGAAATTGCAACCCATCCCTGGAGGCGCCGTTGCCGCTGAGCCTCAGCAATGTTGACACAGATGGCGGTGCAGAGTGCCAAAAATGAGAATTGTACTCCAGACAACGTATGCTGTTGACACGTAATTAAACAAGCGTATCCACGCAGCAAACTGCAAAGCCCCCGCCCAGAGGCTAATTGACAGGTGACAGGCCAGGCCCTGGAGCTAACAGGTGACAGGCCGGGCCCTGGAGCTAACAGGTGACAGGCCGGGCCCCGGAGCTAACAGGTGACAAGCTGATTCCCGAAGCTAACAGGCGACAGCCTGGGCCCCAGAGCCAACAGGTGATCGCACGGGCTGCTTCTGTCGTTACGGGCTGCTTCTGTCGCACGGGCTGACCGTTGTACGCTCGTGCAAAGCGGCGTGTGGGTTGAATGCTGAACTACATGTTTAAATGTATGGCGATCGCGGATAGCCCCGGGGAGAACTTACAGGGACGGATGTGGCTGTTTCTCCACAGCACTGCCTGTTACCGCACGGCGAGTCCTAAGAGGTAAGAGGGAGCCCGAGGTCCCCCCAGGCAGGAGGAGGAGGAGGAGCAGGAGAGATGATGGAGGCATGCCAGGTACGCTCACACCACATCTGACATCCTATCCATCCCTCCTATCCTTCTGTGGCAACTCATGGGAGCCTCCCATACCATCTTGCCAGCTCTTGCGAGTCGACGATAATCGACGCTACATCGACACAAATCGAAGCTAGTCGACGCTAACCGACCATACATCGGCGCAATCTCATCGAATCCCAGACGCTAATCGACGCTAAAGCGGGAATTCAGAGGGTACACCAGGCTCCCATGATTTGCGACCGAACCATCCCTTCCTATGGCGCTGAATCTTCTACATACCTATACGACCACCCTTCGGGTGCTAAGGAGGTTGTGGGGGGAGAGAGAGAGAAGGGGAACCAGCATCTGACTCAATCGATCTCACTATCGATCTCACTCAACGGAACACCAACAGACACCACGGGACACCACGGGACACTTGTCGATCTCACTATCGATCTCACTCAACGGGACATCACGGGACACCACGGGCCGCCACGGGACACCGCGGAACACCTCTCGATCTCACTATCGGTCTCACTATCGATCTCACTATCATTCTCACTCAACGGGACACCATCGGACACCACGGGACACCACGGGAGATCTCGGGACACCACATCGATCTCACTATCGATCTCACTATCAATCTGACTCAACGGGACACCACGGGACACCACGGAACACCTGTCGATCTCACTATCGGTCTCACTATCGATCTCACTTTTTGGGACACCACGGGACACCTGGGGCACCACATTGATCTCAGCATCGATCTCACTATCGATCTCACTATCGATCTGACTCAACGGAACACCACGGGACACCACAGGACACCTGTCGATCTCACTGTCGATCTCACTATCGATCTCATTCAACGGGACATCCCGGGACACCACGGGCCGCCACGGGACACCACAGGACACCGCGGAACACCTCTCGATCTCACTATCGGTCTCACTATCGATCTCACCATCATTCTCACTCAACGGGACACCATAGGACACCACGGGACACCACGGGAGACCTCGGGACACCACATCGATCTCACTGTCGATCTCACTATCGATCTCACTCAACGGGACACCACGGGACACCACGGAACACCTGTCGATCTCAGTATCGATCTCAGTATCGATCTCACTTGTTGGGACACCACGTGACACCGCGGGCACTACATCGATCTCAATATCGATCTCACTCACGGGGACACCACGGGACACCACGGGACATCACGGGACACCGCGGAACACCTCTCGATCTCACTATCGATCTCACTATCGATCTCACTTTTTGGGACACCACGGGACACCACGGGACACCTCGGGGCACTACATCGACCTCAGCATCGATCTCACTATCGATCTCAATCAGCGGGATACCACGGGACACCACGGGACACCAGCGGGACACCGCGGGCCACCGGTTGCCGGGGGGGAATCCTTTGGTCTGGCCGCGGCCCAGCCACAGGAGAATTTCCTCGCCCGCCCACGCAGCTTCGCCTCGCCCGCCCACGCACGCACGAACGGCACGCAAAACACGAACCCGAAACCGAAATCGATTCCCCGGGGCAACACATCGATCTCACTATCGATCTGAGTATCAATCTCAGTATCGATCTCACTCAACGGAACACCACGGGACACCACGGGACACTTGACGATCTCACTATCGATCTCACTCAACGGGACATCACGGGACACCACGAGCCACCACGGGACACCACGGGACACGCGGAACACCTCTCGATCTCACTATCGGTCTCACTATCGATCTCACTATCAATCTCACTCAACGGGACACCATAGGACACCACGGGACACCACGGGAGACATTGGGACACCACATCGATCTCACTATCGATCTCACTATCGATCTCACTCAACGGGACACCCCAGGACACCACGGAACACCTGTCGATCTCACTATCGATCTCACTATCGATCTCACTCAACGGGACACCACGGGACACCTCGGGCACCACGTCGATCTCAATATCGATCTCACTATCGATCTGACTATCGATTTCACTCAACGGGACACCATGGGACACCACGGGACACCTGTCGATCTCACTATCGATCTCACTTTTTGGGACACCACGGGACACCTCGGGGCACCGCGGGACACTTCGGGACACCACTGGACACATCGATCTCACTATCGATCTCACTATCGATCTCACTCAACGGGACACCACGGGACACCACGGGACACCACGGAACACCTGTCGATCTCACTATCGGTCTCACTATCGATCTCACTTTTTGGGACACCACGGGACACCACATCGATCTCACTATCGATCTCACTATCAATCTGACTCAACGGGACACCACGGGACACCACGGAACACCTGTCGATCTCACTATCGGTCTCACTATCGATCTCACTTTTTGGGACACCACGGGACACCTGGGGCACCACATTGATCTCAGCATCGATCTCACTATCGATCTCACTATCGATTTCACTCAACGGGACACCATGGGACACCACGGGACACCTGTCGATCTCACTATCGATCTCACTTTTTGGGACACCACGGGACACCTCGGGGCACCGCGGGACACCTCGGGACACCACTGGACACATCGATCTCAGTATCGATCTCACTATCGATCTCACTCAACGGGACACCACGGGACACCACGGGACACCAGCGGGACACCGCGGGCCACCCGTTGCCGGGGGGGAATCATGTGGTCCGGCCGCGGCCCAGCCACAGGAGAATTTCCTCTCGCCCGCCCCCGCAGCTTCGCCTCGCCCGCCCGCACGCACGCACGACACCAACCCGAAACCGAAATAGATTTCCTGGTAGGAGGGGTCTCCGTTTCACGTCGGACTCACCCCCCAACCTCCTATCAGCGGACGCGTGTCATAGCCGACCTACAACTCCAGTACCACAGCAAAGCACCCTAATTAGCAGCGAAGGTGACCTGTGGGACCTGTGGGGCAGGTGGGAACTAGTCGGACCTTTGCGATCTGTGTGACCTGTGGGACTTCTGTGGCCTGTGGGAACTGCGGGGCCAGTGGGACCTGTTGCCTATGGGGCCTGTGAAACCTGCGACGCTGTGGGAACTGTGAATCATCCGTGACCTGCGAGACCCGTGGAGCTATGGGACTGGCGGGACCTGTGGGACCTGGGGAACCTCCGTGGGACCTGTGAGACCTGCGGTGCTGCGCGCGCTGCTGCAGGCCCTGAAGGTGGGCACGCAGCCCATGCGGATCTTCAGCGATTGCCAGAACGTGGTCGACGGCGTCATGGCAGGTCCCAGCTGGCTCAACAACTACAGCCGGCAGCACCTGGACCTCTGGGGGGCAGATTTTCGAGGCCATCGCCGAGCTCGGCGGTCTGAGCCCGCGCACCGTGCTGGTGTGCATAGTGAAGGGCCACGCTACGCGCGCCGAGAGAGAAGCGATCGGTCGCGCGAGGTGGGAGGGAAACAGGCTAGCCGATAAATTCGCTACGCAGGGAGTCTTGTACCATACTCACCCCGTCTGGAATAGAGAGGCCTACATTCAGAAATTCAAGCTGATTAAGGATAGCTTCGAATTCGGGGCCTGCGTAGGAGTCCTAGGTGCAGAAATCGTCGACACTGAAAAGGGCTCGAGTCCGACGGGATCGAACCCACCCGACCCCGTCCTGGACCTCCCGCACTCCTGGGGGTCCCTGGGGCGGCCAAGGGCGGGATGCGGGCAGGCCCTCGAGGCTTCCGCCCCGCCCCCGGCTTCCACGCCCCGGTCTCGGGCCGCTCTGGACCGGGGGGACGGCAGGGTCGACCGAGCGCGGGGAGCCTGCGACAGACGGTCGGGCCTGTTTGCCTCATGTCGCCCTGGGGCCCACAGGGCGAGCGGGGGCAGGCAGAATCGTCTGTGAACAGGATTGCACCCCACCACCAACCAGCCCCTTTTAGGGGCTATCCTGGAGTTTCGGCAAGGCTCGGGGTTGGCCCGAAGCGGGCTGAGCTCACTCGGCGCGAATCCATTGGGCTTTCGCGACCCGATTCGGTCCTCCTCCTCCTCCTCCTCCTCCTTTTCCTTTGTGGAAATCGCGAAAAGGTACCGATACCGCTACTCCCCGGACCTCTCCGAAGGTGCGTTCTGACCAAGAATTCGAATAGAATCCAGCCGTGGCGACGAGAGCATCCCAGGAGGCCCAAAAAGGCAAAAAACTGGGCATGGGTAGCAGTATTGGTACCTCTTCCCCCTCTGACGTTCCCCCTGCGACTCCTCCGTCTGCTCCTCATCCCCCTCCAGCTCATCCTCCTCTTCCTCCTTTTCTTCCTCCTGCTCCTCCGCCTCCCGACCAGGCGATCCTACGAAGGGCAGGCCCGACGTAAGCAGGAGCGGGGCGTAGAGGGTCCACAGGGTGCTCGCGTCGTAGAGGACGCTCATGTAGCGCAGCGGGTCGACAAGGCCTCTGCGGCGTAGGGGGCGACACACGCGAGCGGGGGGCGAGCGAGGGGAAGCAGTGAAATGGAGAAGCGGGGAGAGGGGATGGTCCATCCCCTCTCCTCCATCCCAGATGGAGGAGGAAGGCAGGGAGAAACGAGGTGATGAGATGAGATGAGACCAGTCGCGAAGCGAGGTGGATTTGAATTTGGAAGAAGCCCAGGCCACCTTCCCTGTCCTGCTGAGACCTTCGGGCCTGAGACATCTGGAGACTCAATCGAGATATTCTCGTCTAGCCGGTGAGAGAGAGAGAAGAGGGACAACTAAAGCAGGGAGGAGGACTGGAGAAGGGATCAGTGAGGAAGGTGGAAAGATGACGGAGAGGGAACAACACTAGAGGTACAGGTAGGAGGGATAGAGAGGGAGAGGCCATGTGTTTTGTTACATGCGTTTTGGTTCATAGCTTTGTGTATATCTATGTACTTACTACATACATGCATGCATGCATGCATCCATACATACATACGTATATACATACATACATACGTACGTACATACATACATACACGCATACATTCAAACATGCATCCATATACACGTACTACGTATATGCATACATAGGTACACATATACACACATACAGACACACATACATCCACACACGCATACGTACAGCATATGCAAATGCACATACATACCTGCACACATACATACACACATGCATGCATGCATGAATACATACATGCATACATGTATGCATGCGTGCGCACATACATTCATACAGTATGTATGCATGCATGCAGTCACGTATGCAGGTGTGTGCATGCATGTATGTATGCATGCATGTATGTATGCATGTGTGTAGCTATGTATGCATGTGTACGTATGTATGTGTGTATGCATGTATGTTTGTATGGATGCGTGTAGGTATGCATGTATGTATGTATGTGTGTATGTATGTGTGTATGCATGTAACTATGTATGTATGTGTGTATGTATGTATGTATGTATGTATGTATGTATGTATGTATGTATGTATGTATGTATGTATGTATGTATGTATCGATCCCCCTGGCGCGCCACGTCCTGAAGCTCCGCAGAAACAACAGACCGTGAGCCGTAAACTGAGCTAGCCGTCCGGCCAGCGGGCCACTGAGGCCCCCAACAGCTAGTCAGACCCGCGCCGACTAGCAGGCTAAGCCCCCAGGCTCGCACCCGAGGTGGGATGGAGGCCTTGCAGGAGCTTCTCGCGGCGTCTGCGCCGCTCGCGCTCCGCAGGGCTACACCTGTCGAGAGGCGGGAGGGGGCCCGGGCACGAGTCCTTCAGCCTCTTGGCACCCCTCTCTGCGGAGACGTACGCCCCGCACCGCCTGCACAGCACAAACGGGCTACGCAAGACCAGCTCATGGGCGTTATCCGCCAAGGGGCTGGGGTCTGCAGGAAGACCTGCCGGAGGCTGCTCCGGGCCTCGTCCATGTGTGTATGTGTGTATGTGTGTATGTGTTTATGAGTATGTATGAATGTCGCGTGTATGCATTGATGCATGTGTTGTGTGGGTGGCTTTGTACTGTATGTATGTATGCATGCACGGAGTTCCGAGTGCATGCGTGGATGTGTGTGTATGTATAGATGGACGCATGCATGCAAATATGTGTGTATGTATGTATGTATGCATGTCTGTATGCATGCATGTGTGTACGTACGTCTGCATGTATGCATGCATGCAGGTATGTATGCATGCATTCATGCGTGTATGCATGCGTGTAAGCATGTATGTGCATATACGTATGTGTGCATGTATGAAGGTATGCGTGTTTGTATGTATGTATGAATGTAGCGCGAATGTATGTTTGCATGTATGCATGTCTTATGCATGTATGGTGCATACGCAGGGTATGTATGCATGCATGTATGTACACATGTACGTGGTGTATGTATCCATGTATGCTTGCTACACACGCACATGCATACATGCATACATACATACATACAGGCATCCATGCATACATACACTCATGCAGACGTGCACACATACATGCATGCATGCAGACCTACTCATGTACGTATAAGCATACATGTACAATGGAACCACGCGCGCGCTTCGGGCGTGCTTTGGTCGTAGCCGCGCCCAAGGAGCTCGCATCGGAAGTTGCCAACGAGGATTGCAGGGGCGATTCTGGAGATCCTTCAGGGATGGTAGAGGGACCTGCGGCAATTAACATGTGGGATCCCCGCGACGTTTCGGGGAGTCCTGGGGCTCCTTCAACGCTTCTTGCGCTTCCTTGGTTCAATCCGAGGACCCGAGGAGGAGCTTAGCAACGAAGAGCTGTGCTCGAGTCTAGTTTCGAAGTGCACGCAACCAGGGCCACATCACGAAGTATCGAAAGCCCCCCCCCCTTCCTGGCCACGCATCTGGGGCCAAGCCAAGGTGCAACGAAGTCAAATAAAAACCCATCTGGGTCGCACTGGCAAGGCCTCCAATTCGATGACTATGGCTTCTCGGGGGGCATTCTTGAAGAACTTCCGCGCGACCTCCAGTCGTCCATGGGCCGTATTGAAGCCTCTTGGATGCCTGCTGGAAATGCGGTATTGGGGACATTTGACGTCCGTTGTTGGAGCCGTCTTGGGAGCAACCTTGGCCATCGTCTTGGGGCCGTTTTAGGGGCCTCTTGGGCAGTCTTGGAGCCCTCTTACGGCCGTGCTAGGGCAATTTTGGGCCCAACTTGGGCCGTCTTGGGGTCCTCTTGGATCTCTTGGGCCGTGTTGTAGTCCATCAAGTGCCCTCTTAGGACATCTCGAGCCGCTTTGGGGGCCCTCTTGGGGCCCTCTTAAATTGTCTTCGGCCCATTTTGGGCCCTCTTGGGGCTTTTTGAGCCGTCCAGGGGCGAGCTCAGTTGTCGTAAGAGCCGTCTTGAACGCGCGGCTCTCGAAGTCCGCTCGATTTCCTCATTGTGGACCCCTGTCAGGGGCGGTCTTGGAGGCTGCTTGGGTCGTTTTGGGGTGCTCCCCCAAGCTGTGTCGCGAGTCGGGCGACGACGGGCAGCAGACGAAGTCCGCGCTGGGCCGAGCGGCCGGATCGGCCGCGGCCGACGCGAGCGGGTCTGCCGACGATCGGCGCCTGGAACGCCGGCGCGAGCGGCGGTTCCGGAGGGCGCGGCCGCGCCGCGGGGCACGGTGCGGTTTGGCCAACGCCGAGACGACGGGCTGCGCGGCTGGCCGCTCGGTCGACAGCGCGCACGGCGACAGGGCCACCAAGATAGTGGCCATGGCTGAGCCTGCCGAGGTCACAGGTGTTGCCCATCCCGGCCCGCTGGAGGGTACCAAGGGCGCGCTCCTGGCGCGTGCCACGTGCTGGCCGAGCGAGGCCGACGGCCTCCAGACGGCCGCCGGCGGCGGGCCGCCGTACCTGGCGCCTGGCCCGCAGGCTGGCCGATCAGACGGCGGCAGGATCGCGCTGAAACTGGCCGAATCTCTCGCCGGCAGAGCGGTCGCGACCCTGGACAGCGCCGACAGCGCGCAGGCGGTCGCGGCGCAAAATTCAGGGACGAGCGGTGCGTCAACCGTTGCAGCGCCCCCGCGGCCCATCGCGGGGCGGCCGACTGGCCGCCTGCGCGAGGCAGCTCGAGGGCATTTCGATGCCAGAGAGGAGCGGGCTTCAGCTCGGGGGCCGTGAGGTACTTGAGTCCCCAGGTGATGAAAAGGCTCATCGCCGACATACATTTACACAACACCCACACTCGAGAGCCAGGCTTGAATCTATGTTAACTCGGAGCGTGCCTGTACCATTAAAATCTTGATTTTAAAGTGCTGGGGGCAGGCGGGGGTAGAGCGACAACCCTAACGAAAAGAGGCCCCACATAATATCCGACGCAGCAGCGGGAGGAGACACACCCACAGGACAGCGAGCGGCTCGAGAGGAGGGGGCACCCTCCGAAAGTATATGTTCGCTGCGGCGGGGCCCCATGCGAGGCCCGAAACTTAAAAGGCCGAGAGGTACCTGACCGTGCCTCGGCCCACGGACGGGCCACGAAGCCTCGCTGCGAAACCCCCAGAGCCCATACAAGCCCAGGGGGGGCAGGGTTGGGAGCCGAAACTTTGCGCCAGGAGCGGAGGGGCAAGCACGAGAGAGAACGAGCTAGCCCTACTCCTAGAATACAGTTGAGGCGGCTATCTGAACGTTTAAAGGGGGGGTGTAAAAGTGTGTTTAAAAACGCGTATTTACACAACACCCACACTCGAGAGCCAGGCTTGAATCTATGTTAACTCGGAGCGTGCCTGTACCATTAAAATCTTGATTTTAAAGTGCTGGGGGCAGGCGGGGGTAGAGCGACAACCCTAACGAAAAGAGGCCCCACAGAATATCCGACGCAGCAGCGGGAGGAGACACACCCACAGGACAGCGAGCGGCTCGAGAGGAGGGGGCACCCTCCGAAAGTATCTGTTCGCTGCGGCGGGGCCCCATGCGAGGCCCGAAACTTAAAAGGCCGAGAGGTACCTGACCGTGCCTCGGCCCACGGACGGGCCACGAAGCCTCGCTGCGAAACCCCCAGTCCCGTCATCACCAGACTGGCACTTGTGCCTTCACGCTTCCAGCCTCTGGTAGACACGAGCGCGGCACACATTCGGGAGGGGGGGAACGGGAGATACTTTGTGTCGCTCTCACCCACCAAAAACCTGCTTTATATTTTCCCCAGACCTATAATTGTTCAAGGAAGACGTGTGGAGGACGAGGGTGCACGCGCCCTAACTCTCGAGGCTCCTGCATTCATATCAAAAGATATAGCTCCAGCGACAGGCGGGAGCCTAAATAGAGGGTGGAGCTCCAGCAGCCTGATCACTGCCTTCTCGACCTGCTGCGGCCAGCCGTAGACGGGCGGCTGGTCGGCTCCGCGCCCCCGTCCGCCATGCTCTCCAGCTGTGGCAGCACGACCTCGTCGTTCTTGGCTGCCTCGAGCTCCAGCACCATGTCCTGCGCAAGCGGCGCCAGCACGGCGTCGGAGCGGTAGATGGCCTCCGCGATCTTCTG